TGGGCCTTGGACTGTTCCTCCCCAAGGGCTGAGTGGAGGAGTGAGAGGATGAAGGAGTGAATGAACAAGTAAAAGAAAAAAAAAACATGTGAGATCCTCTGATGAACAAAGGCATTAGCTTTCTTGATCAAATCTGAGTCAGAACATCAAACCCAGTTTCTCAATCGCACACCATCACTTTTTATAGCATTACTGCCTAGGATCAAGTGCCTTGGCCAGAAACCAAGAAAAACTATCTAGATGTCTTCCTGCAAGGTTATACTTAGAGGCTGATTTTTAAAAAACGTTCCAGCAAATTTCCTGGGTTCTGGACAAAGCCTAAAGGTTCAAACTGGATTTCCCAGCTGACCTTGGGGGACAGTGTTCAGGAGGCCTGGAGGCTTGTCACGTTGCTTTCCATAGAGTCCTTTCAGGAAGCAGTCCCCTTAGCTCTTGGACAGTCCTGTGGAGTAGATGGAATCTAATCTGCAGGTGCTGGGAAGGAGTCTGAGGGCTGAGCAGAGCTGACTGCTGGTACTCGGTGTAGAGCAGAGTCTTCTCGGAGCCTCTTCCCTGGACAGGCCTCCTTGGTGCTAACTTTTGTGGCTCATCCTATATTTTCTACCTAAAGCATCTTGCGATGTGCTGGGCTGGATCTAGCTGAATGCCCCATCACTCCGTTTTGCAAATGTGAAGCCCCTGCCTTGTGCCTTACCTGCGACTGGGCGGCTACTGGGGAACCCCATGCCCCTGCACCCACCTGCACCATCTGTACCTGTTCTTTGGACTGACCTGTTCCTCTCCTGCCGCCTCTAGCAGTTATCACCCAAGCAGACGACGGAATGAGTCTGAGACACACAGCACTGCCTCAGCTATCTGCACAAGCTCCTTCCTCCCTAGGTTTTGCGCCTCTCTGGCTTTTGACTTTTGGCACCTTCCCACTCTGCCTTCTGAAGGCGCCAACATCAGGAGAGGGGAGGGCTGTGGCCCCTGCTCCCTGCGCTGGACRTGCACTCTCAGGAAGCTGCGGAATTCAGAGCAGCAGGGATACCTGTGTTTGGCACCATCTTCTCCCTTGACGACAGACACAGGAAGCGCTGTTGACTCAGGTGTGATTTCCCAGGGGTGCAGAGGAGTTCTGCCAGTATTCACACGCTGTCTGTCATTAGAGGAGTAAACGGAAAAGGATCCGGTTCTGAGCCTTACGTGTGGGGTCTGTCTTCTCAAGAAGGGAGAGGGACACTGTGGACGAGGCCCAGAGCCGCCAACCCGAGGCTCCGCCGGCCCCCAGGAGGGCACTTAGCTTGTGGCTTCCCAGCAAGACGGAGTCGGCTTCCGGAAAGAGATTTAATTGTCCCATTTGTCAGCTCTGCTTCACGGGGTGACACTGACAAAGACTGTGACCTCTTTGCAACAGGAAAACCGGCAAGACAGTGATCTGACGACTCCTCTGTGGAAAATGGCGTTGGATGCTCGCCCAGCGGGGGCTRCACGCTGCACACCGCCCCTCGGGCCCTCCGCACGGTTCCCCTTGGCAAGACCGCTCGCCCAAGAGACCTGCCCAGTAGAAGCCTGGGGATAGAAGGAAAGAAACAGAAACAGGAAATATGGACTCAGAGCTTACTGTGTGCTGCCAGCCATGAGAAATATCAAAACCATAAAACATGGTCCCTGCCCTCCCTCAAGGAGATTACAATATACTTGAGTGAATTAAAAACGAAATAAGAAAGCATTTGAACTACAGTTCGGTACCCTAGTCAGAGAGGGCCACGAGGCAAGSAATGATTAACTGGAAAATGATTGGAACAGGCTGTAATTGGAATTGAGAAATGGGAATTTGCTCTCTTTTTGGAATCCGGGCCTGGCTGGGCAACTTGACTTATTCTAAAGAAAGCTGTTGTGTGCGGAAAAGGGCAGGAGAAAATCCTTTGTATTTACATCCTGAAAAAAAATCCTCGAGGTGATGTTTCTCGTACCTGGCGGCTGCTGTTGCAGGCTGACAAACTGGCTCTTTGGGGGATAAGAGTAAAGGACAGATGTGCTGGGAATCTTGTGAGTCATGAGCAGAAGACCTATTTTTATGCCCTCATAAACTCCAAAGGGAGAGGGAAGTCAGCGTTGGGGAAGAGATGGCGCTGGTCTGGGGAAGAGAGGAAGCTGTTACGTCAGCCTCCAGCAACACGGCGGACGCAGGGATTGGATTCAGCTCCTGGTGGTGCTGGGGGACAATGAAGTAATCTTCGAGTCTCTGATGACACATGTGACTGTGTAAAAGTGCCGGGGGCTGTTGGAAAGAAAGGAATTGAATCAAGATACCCCTTCCCACCCCTTGCCCTGTCCACTGAAGAACAAGCCACCTTCTTTGTGGGTGAAGAACTTGTAAGGGGACAGGTCTCACGTTTTTCCTCTTTCATAAATATGTATGCTTTCCCTCTGATGAACAAATCTGAGGCCTTAGTGAGTCGCTTATTCTATGAAAAGGAAACTAGGAAAAATCTCTGTCCATCAAAGTGAAGGAGATGCAAGGAGGTTTGCCATCTGTTTGAAGCTTCTGAATGAGAAATTGAAACACAAATGAGTATTGGCCTCCAAAGGTCTGCTGTGCAAATGGCGCAGTAATTGCATTAAAAATTTTATTTTCCATACTGAAACWAGTACATTGAAAACCCCCGGAGATGTGGCAGGAGCAAACCCAGAAACCCTGTGTGGAGACATTTCTATAACGCCGTGTTCTTGGGGACTCGTGGTGGTGAGAGGGGGAACAGCTCTCAGAGGATTAGCTCCTGATCAGAAGCTACAAATGTCACAGGGAAGTAATCCACCATGAGTCGGCACACGCAGCGGACAGAGGATGAGCAGCTGGAGATCCAGTCGGTAAGATCATAGGTTTGAAACTGTTAAATACATAAAAGTTTCAAAAATCACCACGACGGAGTGCGACATCGTGACAAAAATGTCGGGCAGAACTGTAAGAAAGCCAGAAACAAAACAAAGCAAAAACAACGAATGTCCCAGTTAGAATAAGCAGATCAGAATTGAAACATCAAGCTGCATATCACAGTGAAAGAACAAGTGAACTGGAGGGTGGATGCCTGGGCCTCATCCAAGAGCAGCCCAGAGAGAAAGGAATAGAGATACTAAAACAAGGTCAGTCACCTGGAAGGTAGAACAAGAAAGCCCAGAGTATCTTAAAATTTTTCAGAAAAAAAAAAGAGAATTATCATAGGTCATTAGGGAATTGTTCATTAAAGCAAAACACCCCAATTAAACAAGATAGCATGATGCCCCCCATTAAAATGGCAAAAATCCTGAACGCCCACGGCACCAGTCAGTGCTGGTGAGGACATGGATCAGCAGGAACTCTTGTTCCTTGATGGCAGGAGTGGGAAAGGGACAGCCACTTTGGAATGGAGGTCACACTTTCCCAAAGCTAGACAGAGTCTCACCTTACAATCCAGCAGGAATGCTCCTAAGTATTTGACCATATGAGTTGAAAATAGGTCCCCCCAAAAAACTGCACATAAATGTTTAGGGCAATTTTATCCATAATGGCTCAAACTTTGTAATCACCAAGATGTCCTTAAGTAAGTGGACGGATGAATACAGTGCCCGTCCAGAGCATGGAATATTATTCACTAATAAACAGGAATGAGCTGTCAAGCCAGGAAAAGGTACAGAGGAATTAGAAATGCATGTTAATAGGTCAGAGAGGCCAGTCTGAAAAGGCCACATGCTGTACAATCAACTCATCGCTGTTCTAAGGCCTGGAATCACAAAGCTGTAGAGACACTGAGGATCGGGGGTTACAGAGAGAAATCCTCAGAAGCAATTCAAGAGAAAATATGGATTGCAAAGAAAGTAGCACCAATAAGATCAGCCGCCGTCTCACAACTGCAGTCCAAATCAGGAGGAAACTGGATGACATCTTCAAAGACTGAACCAAAAAAATCTCTCTCAACTTAGATTCATATGCTCAAGTAATTCAAGAGCGAGAACAAAACCAAGAGCAACACATGCTAACTTCACGAAACCAAAAGGACCCATTTGAGATCAATGATCATGATTCACCTCTTTAAAGGAGAATCAATGAAAACACTTGAAGTACTTATTTTCCTCCAAATGTCTCTTATCGCATCTTAGAAATTACATATGCACACATATGCATATAGCCGTAATCTGAATTTAACATCACATGCATCTTCTTTGATTATCGGTATCCTTGAAAGATGATTTTTAAAGGCTGAATCATCGTCTTAAGTGCCATGGTTTAGTGAATTGCCCGACAGTCGGTGTAATTACCAGACGCTTAGATCAGAGAATTCCTCCCACATGACAAAGACGGAGGATGATGCTAAGCATGCCCACCAGTTTCCTCTCGTTGAAAACCCCACCTGCTCCTCTAACTGCGACTGAAGTGAGGAGGTGTTTAGTTCGAAAGGGGCCATTCAGAGCCGGAGACGTCTTCTTCAATTGAAGTCTTGTGTCCCGTGTACACTGCGGGTGGGTGGCGTTTTGGAGTGACTCTGGATGTTCTGAAGAGATGGGTGGCATTCTCTGGGCGACAGTCAGGAGCAGCACCCGCCACTGTTTACGAGGACTGACTGGGGCACTTCAGGGTGCTCACCACCACTCCGAGCAGGGGCTGCACATTCCGCAGACGGCTAACTGTGGCTCCAGGTCCACAGCAGGCCAGCCACGGAGTCAGCTGGCAGTGAGGTCTGTCCGTGCAGCTTGCTGCTGGCCGGTCCCCACATCCTGCTCAGAGCTTGGGGGGGTCCTGGGGGCAGGGGTGGGTAAGCCATGACCCAAACCCAACCCGAGCAGGCACCGAGCCCCGGCCTCTAGTCTGAGCGCGGTTCCAATTTCACGGTGATGAGAACAGGGGCCTCACCCTTGTTATCCTGACTCAGCAAGTGAGCCACCAGGGGGCCGTCCTGCCTGAAGGTCACACAGCTGTAGGTCACGCACTTCTATCCCCAACCCCTCTGGTCCTCACTGCCTGGGTGTTGTGTCCCTTTCAGGGGAGATGGAGGAGCTGGAGACCCTGTGGCTCACGGGGATCTGCCACAACGAGAAGAACGAGGTGATGAGCAGCCAGCTGGACATCGACAACATGGCGGGAGTGTTCTACATGCTGGCCGCCGCCATGGCCCTCAGCCTCATCACCTTCATCTGGGAGCACCTCTTCTACTGGAAGCTGCGCTTCTGCTTCACGGGCGTGTGCTCGGACCGGCCCGGGCTGCTCTTCTCCATCAGCAGGGTCAGTACCGTGGCCGGCTACGTCCTGGGGGAGCGGGCAGGCCCAGGAAGCCCAGGAACTCCAGAGGAGGGGGCGGGTTTTACTTCTTTGGGGGTCTCCTCACCCTCCCGCTTGGGTTTGTCAGAAAGGACCCAGGGTTTGTGCATGTCTCACTCCGAAAGGGAGTGGGAATGGGGAGGCAGGCTGGCTGAGGAGAGCAGCCCCGGTGAGACGAAGCACCGTGGCCACACTGTGGAGTCTCCACGGGGGAGCACAGGGAACCCGGAGACCGGGGCAAATGGCGTGCTATTAACCTGAAGGAGGCGGCCGTTCTCAGCTGCCCTCGGGTTGTCTTATGGGAAGTATGGCCGACATTGTCAGGTGCTCTACTTTCAAAAGAGAAAGTGTCCTCTGGTTTTATGTGAAACCAATTTTTAAATATTAGTAACTAATTCCATTTAAAAACTAGGGGTCAAACAAAGCCTCTCCACCTATAGCCTCCATCCTAAGTACCCACATACGCCATCCAGCACGTAGACTTCTACGTCATTGTAACATGATTCGCACAACAAAACAGATCTGTGTCACACACCACGCAACGCACAGACTTCTAACAAAACTACGTGCAACCCAGCAGAGCCTGGGTGAAACACAGACCTGCAGCACCAGAGAACTCCATGCACATCCACCAGAAAACAGCACACGGCTCAACACACACAGCTCAGCACAGACAGCTCAACACACACAACACACACAACTCAACACACAGCTCAACACACACAACACACACAGCTCAACACACTCAACACACACAGCTCAGCACAGACAGCTCAACACACACAACACACACAACTCAACACACAGCTCAACACACACAACACACACAGCTCAACACACACAGCTCAGCACACAGTTCAACACACACAACACACACAACTGAACACACAGCTCAACACACACAACACACACAACTCAACACACAACTCAACACACAGCTCAACACACACAGCTCATCACACACAGCTCATCACACACAACTCAACACACACAGCTCAACACACACAACAGCACAACAACACTGCTGCAGTCAGCTCACAGGTGACTCCTGGAAACCTCCCTTCCCAGAGCTCAGTCTGGAAGTGCGCTTTCCTCCCAGGGTACACGTGACGGAGCTCCTCCGTAATGGGCCAGGTACATACGAGGACTTTATGTCCTTCCTCTCACTTAATCTGCAATCTGAAGGTGAGGAAGGTAGTGCTAGTCCCAGATTTGCAAATGGCAAACCTCAAAAGCGGAGGCTGAGAGCTCTCCCGGATCACACAGCCAGATGTGGAGACAGGGCTGGAATCCAGATGGTCAGGGGCAGCAAAGGCCCTCACTCTCCCACAAACCATCAAATGTGAGCAACACAGGACATTCATACAGTTCATACTGTGAACACACATGTGCATGCAGCTCACACAACATGCTCACACGTGTGCCACAACCTAGACACACCCCTACCTGTAAGGTAAGAAATGTACATACCTGCTATTGTCCATGCATCTTCCAGTCAGTCTATCCACACATCTGTCCATCCATCCATCCATCCATCCATCCATTCTTCCATCTGTACCTATTTCTTCCATTTACCACCTGGTAGGTTTTTTCACCCTGAAAGAGCTTAATTGAGTTAGAATTTGAAATATGGTTTTAAAAAAAAACATTGTTTAAAAACATCTGATTTTATATGCTAATGTTGATTGGGAAAACTAAATAATCACTTTAAAATAAATTTGTGTATTCTTAGCATTTGGCGATTTTAAGAACTTTAGAGATTCGGAAGGTACACATTAGCTTAGTGAGAAAGATTTATTTTCTCCATTCAATAGCACTCCAAACTTGGGTTCTGTGCAAATACATACTTCCTAATTAGCTTGATGGCATCTAAACACACAGATTGCTTAAAAATAACAACGTGCATGCATACAGCTAGGTATTATGCCAACTTTAATTCTCCCAGCCAATTACCAAAGGCTTTTCATATCCAAATGACTCTGGGATTATCTTGAGCAAATGCACACTGTGGCGTTTGCTTGTAAATCCTGCTTGGTTTTGGAAGAGCATTTCCTCTCTCCGAGAACCCCTGAAGGAAGCCAAGTTGATAGGATCATCATTACAAAAATGAGCTAAGTCCCTGGCCCCCGTTCCAAGCCTCCTGAGGGGTGGGAGAGGACAGGGAGCTAGGAGCAGGCTGTGTTGGTGTTGCTGCAGGACACGGGGATCTGGCCACCCCTTGTAGGGGGAGAGGCCCCTGGTGCTATGTGAGCAGGGACTTCTGGACCCCCATGGGGACTCCCAGGTACCATCACTGCTGTGTCCCCAAAGGCTGCAGGGAGCCCTCCTTGAGTACTGGCTCTCCTTCCCCCAAAATTTCTATTTTAAAGTCAGTGTAACCTGATCTKTACGAGGAGGAAATTCTCKTTCTTATTAATACTTTCCTGCCTCTTGTTTATTAGGGGAGCTCAGAATAGGCTGAGTCGGCTTTGAGTTGCCAAAAAATAAAAAGGCCCTTCCTTTCTGGTCAAGGGCTGCCTCCACCGGCCAAGCTTGCCTCTCAGGCACGTCCACACTCACCATCTGATGTCCACTCTAACTCACGGCCCGGGGAGCAACGCCCAGGCAGAACCCCGGTCACTGGGTCCACGCAATCATCTGCTTAAAATGAAACAAAACCCCGYAGTAGGGAATTTGCAGCAACAGCTGCACATAGTGTGTTCACTGCAGGCCTGGGCCAGGGGCGTCCCCTCCAAACTCTCCAGTCTCCACAGCGCCCTGTGAGGCTGCCCCAGTCCCACCCGTCCTGCAGCGGGAGGTTGAGGCTCCAAAGGCCAGAGTGGGACCTCGGGCTTCACTGTTCTCCTGAGACAACAGGGCTCTGCACACTTCACCCAGAGGTAGACCAAGGCTCGGAAGAGAGCCTCTCAGGCAGAGTTGGTCACATGCATCAGTCTGCTTCAGAGACTGGGCTCCTTTCTAAGGAAGCTGATCCCTAATGCTCTGAAATTTACATCGCCCCAAGGCAGACATTTTCTGCATAGATCCTAGATCTTCCCATCATCAGTTCTCCTGTGAGCACAGTGAACATCCAGCCAATAGACGTGAAGCCCTCGGCTCTCAGCGGGCAGCCCCACCCCTCCCTGCGGGCTGCACATCCTGAGATACTCCAGAGGGCGCAGCGCAAATACCAGCCGAGTTTCRGGCACCGTGGCACTGCCAAGGGACGTGGCTGGAGCTCAGGGGAGACACTGATTTAACCTGGGAGCCGAGTTCTCTTACAGCGGTAGCCCTTCCCTCCCTCCCTCCCCCCCCTTCTCAATGTCTTACAAAAATGCACCCTCCTGTCTTGGGGTGCTCTTTCCTTTGGTTTTCTCTACRAAACACTTTCTCTTCTACTTAGACAAAAATGCTCACTGTCACCAGCAAAAAGAAAATAAATAAATAAAAATAAATCCCCATGGGGCTGGGCACGGTGGCATGCACTTGTAATTCCAGTGGCTCGGGAGGCCGAGGCAGGAGGATTGCAAGTTCAAAGCCAGCCTCAGCAACTCAGTGAGGCCCTAAGCAACTCAATGAGATCCTGTCTTTAAATAAAATACAAAATAGGGCTGGGCGTGTGGCTCAGTGGTGGAGGGCCCCTGAGTTTTCAATCCCCTCCTTTACCAAAGGGAAAAAAAAAAAGAAAACAACAACAGAGCCGCAGAGCCACCAAGATTGCCACCCAAGTGCTAGGAGTGCAGCGAGCCACAGGCCAGGACGTGGGAGCTGTGTCTACCTGCCCTGTGATGGGCAACGGGAGCCGGAAGCAGGATGTAGGGCGCACCTGGTGACCCTGCAGTCAGGACCCACAGAAGTTAGACACGTGAGGTCGGGGCCAGCAGGGGAGGCACCTGGGGGAGCCGCAGAGGGCCTCCCCCAGGGAGGGGCCACGTGTCCCCTCTGGGCCCCMTGAATAGCAGAAGAGAAGGGAGGGGTCAGGGAGGAAAGCCACCCTGCCCAGGGGCTCGTTTGCCCCCAGGTAGATCTGGGCCCATCTTCAGTGGGACAGAGCAGTGTGTGTTCCTGCAGCTTCTGTGGAATGGGCTCTGTGGGCTCCAGCCAGGGAGAGAGCAGGCCAGGGCAGGTCACAGTCACAGGACAGGCATCCAGGTGACAYTGACGGAGCACACACTGTGCTGGGTGCTTTCCTGCCATTGTTTTATGTTGCCCCGCGTCCACGGAGGAGGGCACAAGTCCCACTCACAGACCTGGGAGCTGAGGCTCTCAGGGGTGCAGAGGGACCCGTCCAAGGCCAGACGGATGATGGATGTCAGAGCTGGGACCCGAGTCCAGTGGGTCCCAGGCCTCCGACTCTTCCAGTTTTCCTGTGACATGCTCCTGTCCTCCTGGGCAGTGATCTGGAAGGCCACTCAACTCATTTGGTGGATGCGGTCATCCAGACCTGGCTGGTCCTTCCCTCTGCCTCCTGTGCCTGGGACCTGCCTTATCGGTGTCTCGTGAGTCCTGGGAAGCCGAAAGCAGCCCCCACCCACCTCCTGCCACCAGCCCAGCTCCTGACCGGGCCTCCTCCAGCACCACAGGGGCCAGCTCACCCTGACCGGTGGGAGCAGATTGCTCTGAGGGAGAAGGGAGGGAGGAAAGTTCTAGAATCTCCAGGCGGAGAAAGGGAGCTGGTTAAAATAAAACTGCAAATTTAGAAAAAAACAAATTAAACTAGTGTTTTCATAATGTTGAGAACAAGAAGGAAAAGCGCAGTCATCAGCGGATTCTGACGTCAGGAAGCACCTGATCTCCATCCAGAGGAGCAGCACCCCCCCAGGCCAGAGCTAAGGAGCAGCACCCCCCAGGCCAGAGCTAAGGAGCAGCACCCCCCAGGCCAGAGCTAAGGAGCAGCACCCCACTGTAGGCCAGAGCTAAGAGCAGCACCCCACTGTAGGCCAGAGCTAAGGAGCAGCACCCCACTGTAGGCCAGAGCTAAGGAGCAGCACCCCCCAGGCCAGAGCTAAGGAGCAGCACCCCACTGTAGGCCAGAGCTAAGGAGCAGCACCTCTTAGGCCAGAGCTAAGGAGCAGCACCCCACTGTAGGCCAGAGCTAAGGAGCAGCACCCCTCTAGGCCAGAGCTAAGGAGCAGCACCCC